TGATTTATTTAAAAATAATAAATTATTAGAAAAAAAGAAAATACAACAATTGAAATAAAAAACAAAAAATATAAGTATTTTTCAACTATTTCCATTATATAAAAATTTACAAAAATGCAATATAAATAACATATTTATAAATAAATAAATAACAACATTTATATTATATATAAATACTATATATATAAACAATTGATTTGACTACAATATTAAAAACCAATGTTCAAACAATATATTGGAATTTCAATTCCTCTTGGTAAATAAGTAATTTTTATTATCTCATAAATTAAATAATAAAAAATAAAAATATAGAGTATTTTATAAATTTTATAAAAAAATTGAACTACACTAATATTATATATTCTTCATATTAAACAAAAAATGTTTGAAAAAATAATAATTATTGTTAGTAAAGATAGAAATGGCTAAAATACAAAGAAAAAAATGAACTAATGTCTTAATCATAGTTCATTTTCCTGGTAAATATGTTAACAGTTCAACCAGTAAGGCCATTTGGTTGCTAATTATTATCATCATCATCTTTTGATACCGCCACGCGCAAAAATAAATGCGAAAATAAGAATTACTTTTATTGATGATGAAAATGTAATACATGATTTAAAATCAATCGAAAAAAGAAAAATGGTTTTACATCAAAGTGGTAGGTTAGTGGTTCAACTATCCTTGTCAAATGGATCAACAATGATTTTATTATTAAATAATAAAAGACATAAAATTCTAGAAAATATAGAAATTTATAAACAAATTTGGGTACATTCTATAATATTATGTATTCATCATATAAAAAAAGTCTGATTAATGAGAATTATTTTCGTTAATGATAGAAATGGGATAAAAATTAGGACAAAAAATAAAGAACATTAGTGTCTAACACATGACCCCACTAACCATGTCAAATGGTTCAATGATTTAATTAGTTAGGTCATTGTAGGTAAGTGGTTTGGTAGGGATGCAAACAGATCAATCAAATATGAATTAGGGTATATTCGAATTCAATTAGACCCGAAGATCTTATCGGATCTCATAAATATTGATTCAAATATGAATCCGATCAAGATGTTGGATATTTGAATCTAATATGATCCAATTTAATTTAAAAAATTGTAAATTATTAAAACGAAAAGAAAATATAATAATTGAAATAAAGAAAGATTAAACAATAGAAATATTTTTTCAACTATTTTCATCATATAAGAAGTTTACAAAAATGCAATATAAATAATATGTTTATAAATAATTAATAAATAACACATATTTTATATAAATGATTTATATATATATATATATATATATATATAATTGATTTGACCACAATATTAAAAAACAATATTCAAACAAAATATTGGAATTGCATTTCCTCTTAGTAAATAAATAATTTTTATTATCTCATAAATTAAATAATAAAAAATAAAAATAAAGATTTTTTAAAAATTTTATAGAAAAATTTGAACATGCATTAATATTATATATTCTTCATATTAAACAAAAATATGTTTGAAAAATAAGAATTGTTGTTAGTAAAGATAGAAATGGCTAAAATACAAAAAAAAATGAATTAAAGTCTTAATCATAGTCTACTTTCCTGGTTAAATAGGTTAATGATTCAACCATAAGGTCATTTAGTTGTTGACTATTATCACCATCATCATCATCATTTGATATTGCAACGTGCAACACACATGCACTTTTACTAGTGGAAGGAGAAATGGAGAAACATAACCAATGATGGGAAGTTTCTTTTTCTCTTGATTTTGTAGTTCAAGGGTTCATTGAAATTAAGGCTTATTTCTGTTTCAAGAGAGAAATTTCACTCCTTATTGGAGATTTGGATTTAGTGCTCAAACCATTCTCACAGCCTTTTACAACTTTGCATTGGGAATAGCTTCGTACTTGTATGCAAGGGACTGTGCGAACGATGCAAGTAAGGTTCAAAAAATCAACACGTATTGGCCCATATCAGCTGATACATATCATATCGGGAGCACCCCGATATGCCTCTATAGAGGGTGTATCAGGGTTATGACTGGTTTAGGGGGTGGAGGAACCTTAAAAAGGCCCTTGAACCGGATTTGAAAAAAAAAAAAAAACAGAAGTTGAGTTGGTAATTGTTGGAGATTACCACCAAATCTCTGCTAGGAGAGAACGTGTAACTGGTCTACCATTGAGTTTATTTAGGTATGAATTACTCGTTGATTTGGAGCTCAGTTTTCTATACTCTACAGAGAATTGTCAAATAAACAGATCGTGAATGCCTTGTCTTTCTCCAAAATGTTAAAGGATATTCCTACTCTGGTTGATCCAGTTGTGGCAGAAAATAATTGAGGCCTTTGGGTTCCACATAGACATGATTCATTCCTAGGCCTTTCTTTTATTGATAAAGCCATATCATGATTGTCACCTTAACTACATGGGCTTTTGGATTTCAAAGGGATGTATCATGCGTGAATTTACTCTAAGAAGATTGTCACCTTTCTTATGGAAGTTCTTTTGTGTCATTTGGCACTTATTGTCCATTCTTGTTTCACATTGCAATTTTCACTTGGAGATCTGCCACTGTCGATTTGGAGACCTACTTTTGCTGATTTAGCGACCTATGTTCATCGACCTAGCGATCTGCCTCTACTGTCAATATGGAGACTTGCTTCCACCAATTTGGCGACATGTTATCAGTCCGAACGAGCCTTGTCAGCCCTGTTCGTGAGGTCGCCCTTATAGTTCGAGCCCTCCGTGGCTCCTATGGGAGTCAGCGGCCAATGGATTGCAGTCACCCTTGCGGGTTGAGCCTTTCAAGATTCCTATGCTAGTTGGCAACCTACAGTTAGTAGAGCTGCCCCCGTAGGTTGAGCTCCTTGTAGCTTATCGTAGGAGTAGACGACCAGCACCTTCGAGGATTAACATAGAGCAGCCGTGGCACCAACCCATTATTCAAATGCCAATAGTGACATACATATTACAAGGGGAAGCCAAACTGCTTTCAGCATCAAGGACCCCTAAGCCAACCTCGAAATATGTTGGTAGCAGGCCAAAGGAACTACAATAAAGCTACTCCCTTCACTGAGTTAACCTCAGCTCGGGAGTGGGGGGCAATTGATGAGGGCAGATTTGGCCCTCCACTGGCATCATGACACATGGCATATCAGAACAACTAGACTACATCTCAACATCACCTAGGTGACAAGTTGCCTTAGCCAAAATGGGGTCCCAGCTGGCGACCTGCCTTTGTCACCGACCTAGCGACCAATCTCTGCCGTTACCTGGCGACCTACTTTTGCCGTCGACCTGGCGACCTACTTCTATCGCTAACCTGATGACCTGCCTCTACCGTCAACCTAGCGACCTACTTCTACCTCTGCCGCTGACATGATGACCTACTTCTGCCTCTGCCACCAACTTGGCGGCCTACTTCTGCCACTAACCTGGCAACCTGCCTCTATCGTTGACCTATCAACCAACTTCTGCCGCTAACCTGGCGGCCTACCTTTCTAGAAGCTTGCTAGTTGTCTCCGAACTTTTCGGGATCACACCACGTAACCGTAGGCCTTATCCTCATCCTACCCGAATCGGAGGGAAATAGTAAACCTTATTAATTGGCACGTTATCCTCCTTCCAAAGTGGAACAGACCCCTACGTCGTGGACCGAGGATTCCTAGAGCGTTTTGCGAAACCCACGGTAGCCCAGCTATATAAGGGCATCAGCCCCTAAGACCCAGGTAGATGCACAATTTAGTTCTCGCAACTCTCCAACTATCTCACATTTATCTATCATAAAATCTCTAATTTGCTGACTTAAGCATCAGAATGCCCACCCCAAGTAAGGCAACTCAGGCACTTTGACACTGTTTCCTTGCAGGTCGCATTAGAATCATCTCTCCATCTCGTCACCACTAAGTTAGGCATTAGAGCCATCTCTCCAAATCGTCAACATTCAGCTAGGCCTCAAAGCCACCTCTCCAACTCATCACCATTCAGCTAGGCATCAGAGCCACTTCTCCAGCTCATCACCATTCAACTAGGCGTTTAAACCACCTTCCAGGTAGGAACCATTCAGATAGGCATCCAAACCACATTCCAAATAGGGATTATTCAACTAGGCATCTGAGTCACTAGCCAATTAGGAATGGCAAAAACGCCCATCATCAGCAGGAGTTGCAGAATTTTGGAACTTAGAGGTTTTGTGTGGGTGCTGATGGTTTTTTGGTCTTTGGTATTGGAGTTTAATGCTCTTAATCATAGGAATTTGGTATTTTGTTGGCGTGCCTTTCTGGGTGTAAAGGGCAGTACTCTGTAAAGGCCTCTTTGTGGACTTTGCATTCACTAATTTAGAGACTAGAGAGAGGAAGAAGAACCAGAAACAAACTAACATCACAAGTAATAAAGCTGAATGGAAAATAGCCCCAAGAAAGCTTAATGACACCATATTGGAAAATCGCCTGCTCGCAAGTCCATTGTGAATCAAATGAGCCCCTAAAGCCTAGCTGCTGGTTAGGCAATTTGATAATGGGTTGACTGATTATGAGTCCAACTGAACAAGATATTCATCCTGGTAGCCAAGCCCTTGCATCCCATACATGATATTGTAGAGCCCAAGGACCATATAATAATGACCTTATCCAGTCTACTACAACTGATGGGTTCCTTACAAACCTCAGATCCTTCAATAGCTAGGAATCAACCAATCCTTTATCCTTACAACAAGGATGAAGAGTCCCCAGAACTTGGGTTGYTTATGAAGAAGAGGAAAATGGATGAAAAATGCAAAACTTGATCTAAATCAAATTGAACTTTAATATTGGTTTTATTAGTGTACTTTTTTTTGATATTTATGTCAGTTTCCTGTCCACTGCATATCTTAATTTCTCCACCAACCATATATGCAAATAGGAAAAATTTAAGATAACTAAAATGCTGTCAAGTCCATAAGATCCAAGAAACCAACGTTTGGTCAGGTTCCACACTAGCTAGCAATGATGGAAAACAAATGAACAAAACAAAGCGGAACATCCAAGAAATTGTTATTCTCAACTTTCAAATGTCAGAGTAGTTTCCCAAGTCTAATTCAATAAAAAAATAGGGTTCCAATAATGTATGTACTTGATCAAAACACTCTTTAAATGCTCTCTCTTGTTTGTTATCCCAGTCCCAACCTAAAGTCTAACTGGGAAGAGAAACTTGGTTATAGAGATCCTTGACCGAGATTACATGTTTAGTCCCTAATGAGTTTGAAAAATGGAATTCATATTTATAGAAAATCTTGCTTGAGCAGTGTAGTATGCAGGCTCAATGCAGCAAAATTTGGACTTGAAGATAGCTCTTGATGTCTCCCTCTCTTCTTCGACCTGGTTTCTGTCTTACCAATTTCTGAATCGTGAGCATGCTTAACACTGGTATCAACAAGGAAAATTAACACATTTAGAAGACATACTATACAGGTGCAGTTGAATTCTTTAGACATTTGATGGAGGCTTGTAATCAAGCATCTCCCTTATATTCAATCGAATGGAAGGGCCCATTGATGAACATATATGAGCACTTTTCCAGTATACTCCCTTTGCACCCGATGGCTTGTTTGTTTCTACTGATCTCTGCAGGATTTAAGAAAACCAATTGATAAATAAAAACAAAATTCATGTGCAGAAAGTTAATTTCAGCTAATGTTCAAGCCTAAAGAAGAAGAAAACATACTACTGCTGCCATCAAGTTTACAAGAAGATCTTCCTCAGAAAAGTTTGCCTTCCCGAAAGGTATGTGAACAATCCCAGTTTTATCTGCCCTGTATTCAACCTTCCCTTTCTTGAATTCACTTATAGCCTGAAAAAGGATGTGGGCAACCATTTCCATTAATCTCAATGTTGATTTTAGCATGCCAGGAAAAAAGGTAGATAGAATTTTTTTTTTTCTAATTTTGTTCTCAGAATCTCAGTTGTCATTGTGTTAGCTGTTAACAACTTGAGAATAATTTTTTACTTTTCATCATCATTATATTACTCATGACAGTCCATCTGGTATTTTTTTTTTGGGGGTACACTTATGGAACCAGACCAGGGAACCTAGATCTTGCTTTCATTTTTTCTATTTTCTAGCATCTAGTATCTAGTTGCATGATAAAAGGTGATAAACTAGTTCCAAACTGACTGTCTAGCACATGAAAGCACTCCAAACTAGTTCCAACCAGACCAGGGAGCCTTAAGTGCAAGATCACTAGAACCATATAACCAAGAAAGCACTCTAACTAATAGCACAAAATTATAGCGGGAATTTTTGTTACCATACCTGAGGTATATCAGTTGCAACAGTACCAGCTTTTGGATTTGGCATGAGTCCTCGTGGCCCTAAAATCTTTCCTAGACTGGCAACCTGACAGCAATTGCAATAACCAGGGTAAACGTTAACAAACTAATATCATCTCTTGCCAGGTTGCAGAATTCTAATCCCAGTGGTAGAGAAGGCAATAAGATAAACTTAGGATCAATCTATGGATTATAATAATTCAATTGGATAGAAGTTGATGGTGCCCTCACAAAATAAGTAAAAACATGTCCTTTGAACGTCTAAATGTTTTCCCTATCAGCTATCACCTTAAGAAAAACAAACTGAAAGGAACATACCAGAAAATATGATAATAGTAATAGTAATAACTAAAAAGCTTGCATGAAAATCAAAAACAAAGACAAACATCAAATACGCATGGTCACATACGTTAGATACATTACTGCTACAAAGATAAAGCTGGCTACTGACCATTCAACACCTTTTGAGAATGTATAATAATATACAACTGTAATATTCTAGAAGAACATTAAGTTATTTTTTTAGACATGAAGGGCTTGATATCAAAAGTGAATGTATTTATTCCCTCCTTGAGTACCCTAATCAATATTAATATCTAATGGAAGTTCTTGATTCAGATGTATGCAATATTGATGTCAAATCTCAATAGCAGTCTTCCATACAAAGAAAAACTTTCAATTACAATGGGTAAACTAAACTGTGGACCAAATTAGAGATTAGAAGTGAAGTGTTGAGCAATAAAAGATTAACAGATTTTAAATTTCACATGGAATATTACAAGAAGAAAGCATACATCAGAAAGGGGGGGGATAGTACAGTGGTGGAGAGGGGACTTCTCCAATGTGACAGGTGAGAACAATATTTGAATCCCATAGAGATATATCAGTCAATCCCTCCTTTGGAGTACTTGAAATTAATTTTTTTAGAATATCCTTATTCTTATCTAAATTAAGAGAGGTGTTTGTGCTTGTATTTAAGCAAGCTCTATTGATCACAAACAAGATTAGTGAGATTGAGAATGTGGTTTTCATTGGAGTGCAACCATTCCCAAGGGATTATTGAGTTATTTTCCTTCAAAATTGGACAGATTTACAAGAAATGCACAAGTTTTAGCAAGTGTCACACTATGGAATCAGCACAAAATTTTTAAGTGTAACCATAGGTGTGGATGGTAGGTTCTTTTTTTTCCTTTTTCTTTTCCTCTGTTCATTTTTCTTTCTTTTGCCAACTGCCAAGCACTTTGGAAAACTGTGAATATATAAATTTGGACCTTTGAGAACTGGTGAACATGCAAGAATAGGAAGAGGAATAAGTTGCATCAAAATAAACAGAGCAACACCTTGGGCATCATATCTGGAGAAGCAATCAATTTATCAAAATCCATGAATCCACCTTTTATCTGTTCTATCAGATCTTCTCCACCAACCAAATCAGCTCCTGCATTTTTTGCTTCATCTACCTTTTCACCTGTTGAAATTCAAGGTTAGATAGTGAGGATCATCAAGAAGATGCAACAAAGCAATAAATTAATTGCATTTCAGAGCAAAGTAATATTGCAGGCGAGAGGCAGAAAAAGTCAATACAGTTTTATGGATTATGGTTGACACTCGATGCTTCACAATGCCTAACAACTCTAACAGTGTCATGACTCCTGACAGTCTGTAAGGCATTATTTAGATAAAATAGTTGTTATACAAAAGTAGTGGCATCTTAAACCAAAAAAGCAGTGCACGCCTCACCTGATTGAAAGCAAGGCAAGACCTAACCTTTCTGGTTATCTTTATAGCTTTTTACATTTTCTATGACAACAGGGATTTTAATGTTAAGTATCAAGTATCAAGCACTAGTTCCATAACAACCTCAGAATTGAACTGGATAGAAAAATACAACAGAGAGATGACATATACCTACTGTATCCTAATCCTCCTCATAAAGAATCCACACTCAGGGCAACAGGATTTGKGGGTTGAAACTGAGAAACCTATCTCCACCATATTTTTCCTCCTGAACAATGAATTAACTCTAATCCTAATAGATCCACTCTCCTACCTTGTTATATAAATGCCAAAGAGGCTTCAACTATATTATTGTAACTTGGTAGGTTAATGCTCCTGCTACAATATCAATGATTGATGTTCAGGTCAACTATTAAACATAGATGCAAAGTTGGCAAGATGGCAACTTAGASTCAGAGACTCAGAGTGGCATCAATGTATCTGCCCCCGTAGACAATTTTCATTACTAATTCACATAATCACATTAATAAGCTGAGCCATAGAAATTTAAATTCATAATTTTAAAATTGAGGACTTGAAAATCCTATGCTTCAGTCTTTTTGGATATAGTCCTTCCTACTTTCCTTTTCCTTTTCTTTTTCTCATTATTTCTTTTTTTTTTTCCTTCTTTTGTTTCACCCTAAATCAAGAAGGATCTAACATGAGTAGAGAGCCTACCTTGGGTAAGCACAGCTACTCTAACAGTCTGACCAGTTCCCTTAGGCAAATTCACCTACCAAGGAAAGAATCAAAACAGATGAAGAGATATTAGACACCTCTAATAGTCATTGGCCTAATAAAAAAAACTCCCAACAATCCAAAAATAAAACTTACTGTAGCCCTCAGCTGTTGGTCATTATATTTAGGGTCTATGTTCAGACGAAAATGAACTTCCACCGTCTCTACAAACTTTGTGCTTGCCATTTGCTTCAGCAGAGATATGGCAGTGGGTAAATCATACTCTTTCTTGTTTTCCCTCAACTTTTGAATTTCCAAGAACCTCTTAGACCTTGTCTGGAATTTCAAACCAATATGAAAGAATTTAAATTTCGGAAAGCGGATAAAAAGTAAGGTTAACTTACATAAATCCCAACAAAACCCAGAAAGCAGAGAGAAGAATTGATCAGAAAATGCTGTAAAAAACATAAAATAGAAGCGTAGCAGGAAACAAAACAAAACAAAAAACAAAGAAAGATCAAGCTAATTAACAAATAGAATGGAAATCATATAAGAATCAGAACTACTACATGAGAATTCAACAAAGATAAAAACAAGAGGACCCAATACCAACAACCCACGAAATGAATAGTAGAATCAAGCAAAACCCAGTTACCAGTTCACATAAGACACCATAGTTCAAAAAAAAAAAAAAAAGAACAAAATTCGAAGAAAAGAATCAATTGAATTACTCTGTCTCTCTTCAGTGGCAATGCCGCTTTCCCCTTTTTAGGCTTCGTAGGAGACGCGGCAGCAGCAGCGCTGCCTTCCACAGCCTCTTGCGTGACATCTTCAGCTACCTCTGCTTCGGCAGCAAGGGCTGCCGCAACGAAAATAGAAGACTCAAATTTAGCTTCTCTCCACGAAGTAACTTGAACCCAATTACAAGACTTTCTTCCTCTGCTATGCAACACTAACGGGAAGACAGAAAAGCAACTCGAACAGGAGGAAATTGGGTTGGGTTTGAAGCATAGAGAAGGTGCCTCGGAAGGAAGGATTGTGGTGGCACTGTGTGTTAGCATCACAGAAGAAGAAGCCATTACTGTGTATCCTCACTTCACAGTCAGCCAGCCAAAGCCATCCAACGACAGGAAAGATAGATAAGAAGGATTTTCTACAATTTGTAGGTCCAGTAGACCATATTTACAGTATATAAAGTTCTGTATGCTGGCCCCACCTAAGAGATTTTGGATAATGTGCTCATCCGGTTAGGATATCCTAAATTCATAGTTATGCTGGCGTGCATGCATTTTGTAGGTCCCGTCCTCAACAGCACGTGTCTGGAGACGAAAGATCATCAAATTAATTTTCTTTTGGAAAAAATATTGATTATTACCCTGTACTAATACCTTTCAAGTATTATTATTTATTAACTATTTAAATACCTTTCAAGTATTATTATTCATTAACTATTTAAATATTGATAAAAAATAAATGATTTAATTTTTTTGAATAAAAGAGGCAAGAATTTGGGATTATTTTGTCAAAATTTAAATGATTAATAAAGAAAATTAGATAACATTTAATGGGTATTTATATCTTTTCAAATATCATTTAAGGTGGGTATTAGATTGACATATTTTAAAAGTTTAAATACTGAATTATCATATTTTAAAATTGGGAGAACAAAATGGCACTAGGCCCAAATACCAAAGTAGAGGGTAGAATTTTTCCTTTTGTTCTTATAAATCAGGTGTCATGCATATGGCCAAAAGATATATCGAGTGAGAAAAAAATAGGCACTACATGATTTAAGAGTCAAGACATCTAATTTACAATATCAGCCGTGAGCTTGTCTTTCTTTTCTTTCTTACACCATTTTAATCTCTTATTTTCTTAAAGATTATAAGGTATCGTCAGTGTTATCCAAAATTTAATTGTCTCCTCTTTCTCTCGGTCATGCAGCAACCTGAGGGTGGCGGAGATTTTGTTGGTTCCTTTCGACCTCTTCCAACTAAAGGATCTCTTGAAGTAATTCTAGATTTGTTATCCAAGACTCAAGCAATGTGGTGACATGGCAAGTAGTAAGGGGAAAGAAAAGATGGCCGAGGAATCCGAACGAACTCTGAGCCTTCAATTGGCACGGCTAACGGTGGAAAAGGCTCTGGTCAAAGGCTCACATGTGGAGCTTGAACTTGAAAGATGTAAGGAAGCTATAGATATTTCCAAGATTAAATGTCACAAAAGATGCAATCGAAGGAAGTTGAAAGGGATAAGGTGCTAAATTGGAGGGCATTGGTTTTATAGATCTGGTTGGCTGATGGTAGGAGCATGGTCTGACAGTGAAGATGGTACGGTGGAAAAGCTTTTGCTCAAAAAAGTATGGGTATAGCTTCATTCAATCCCTAGAGGTATTGTGGAAGATTCGCGAGTTAAGCACTTGGATTGATGGCAGGGGAAGTGGTGCAGAACCAACCAAGGGTTAAAACGGGGGCCTTAATGAGAGGACTATGGATACTAGGAAACCACTGTTCACGGGCATGTTCGTCATAGTGTATGGGAAAAAGGCATGGATTCGCTAATGTTACGAAGCTCTTACCAAAGTATGTGCCTATTGTGGACTGCTAGGCCATTGTTGGCAAAAATGCATAAGAATAAATGTACCCCTCGAACAAGCAAAACTTGAACTAGAGAACAGAACAATAGACCAACCGGGAGAATGGCTGAGAGCGGAATACAAGCCTGAGAAGTCTATAAAATTCCCCAGTTACAAAATACCAGATGAAGGTTGTAAAGCAGCCCTAATTCGTACGAGTGATACCGGTTCGGACGAAGACGAGGGTTTCATCGAGAAGAAGAGATGCTTGGCAGACCATATATCAACGACAACCTGCGTCACCGGTAAAACAGCCACAGCTAAAGATTCCGATTGAATCGGTGGAGGGGATGAGTTAACTCGCAGTTCATCCAAGCATCACCGAGTGGACTCGTTTGTGTTTCACGCACCACCTGGAGGTAACAACTATCACAAGATGGCCAAAACAATTATCACCTCTGAAGAATAGAACCCAGGGTCCCACGCGGCATTCATGCAATCTGCATTCGGAAACTCTTCAAGCACCTCTCCTAGCCGAAAAGCGAACATTGCAGTCAATAACAAATAGGTAGCATCAGTTCAAGCTCACTTGAATCAAAACCAACATGCCCATATCTATGCACGCGCCAAGATCGGATTTGGACCAGCTATATCACAAAATCGGGCGGTTTCGGGTACGTGGACCTAGAATTGGACCTGAAAAAAGGGGCAGGCCTAGGATAACTCTCTTGGACCTGGAATCAAAATCTCTTCTACAAGTCTGTGAGAACCAGCTAGAAATAATAGTGGCAAATGGTTCTAAAACCTTGATTCCTCTTACGGGCCAGACTTTCTATCTGATGGATGTAAATCTTATTGCATGGATGAAGATGAACTGTCCAAACTTTTAGGCAGATTGGAGCAAATGACATAACTAGCAGAAATACTACTTGCAAACAAATGTGGATCCACCTTCAGCTTCATCAGGATGGGGTTGAAAGCAACTGACGAAGCTCAACCACCCTCACTTTCCCCATCAGAATCATCTTTAGAATTCCACGCTCTCTCAGCTGAGGTAACTCTCCTTTCCTGTATCTGCTGCTATAATTTCATCTGTGTTCACTTAGTGTACTACCCTAATTTTCTACTAACTCCCAGTCAGTCAAAAATCATGAAAATCATAAGCTGGAATGCTAGAGGTTGTAATAACTCCCATACCATCCGATACCTAAATAAACAAATTAGAATTTCAAACCTTGACATAATTTTCCTGTCGGAGACAAAACTAGATGAAGAAAAATCAGAACTCTTGTGAAGGAAGCTAGGGTACCCTCAGATTTGTTACAACCCAGTCCAGGGACAATTAAGGGGTTTGTTTTGTGGATGGAAGAAAGACTTGCCTATTTCTATAAAAGAGATCTCTAATAGATGCATCATTATCTCGGTGGTCATGCCCCAGAAATCACAGAATTGGCATCTCTGTTTAACCTATGGTCACCTGATGAAAAGCAAAAGATCCCAACCTTGGCATGATTTACATGACAAAATGGTAAACTACAAACAATGGGTCATTTTAGGTGACTTGAATGAGGTTTTACACTCTGGGGAATACAGCGGGGCTAGAGCTTCAATAAACAGAATGTCAAACTCACTAGCAACACTAATTAACTTGCACTCCCTATTAGAAATTGAAATGATTGGGTCCAAATTCACTTGGTCCAATAAAAAATGGGGGAATAGGAAAGTTAAAGAAAAACTAGATCGGGGTTTGGCAACCATCCATTGGCACTCTGTATTTTCAAATGCTAGAATTACCTCCATAAAAAATATCATGTCAGACCATTCACTACTCCTCCTCGATACTGATCCACAACAGATTCCTGGCCCAGAACAATTTCATATTTTGCCTATGTGGGCTGAGGAAGATGAATGTAAAGAAATCATAGAGAACCAATGGTTCTCTCCCCCTCAATAGGCATCACTACCAAGCAAGTCGTGTAGATGTAAAGAGGCACTGAAAGAGTGGAATAAAAAGAGCTTCGGGAAAATTGAAGAAAAGCTCAAAGAGTTAGAAAAGAACATTTTTGAATTAGAGGAAAGTGGGAATTAGGAAGATTGGCAGAGGAAAACAATATTAATGGAGTATGAAAGATGGCTGTTGACAGAAGAAAAGTTATGGAAATTAAAATCCTGGGAATTGTGGCTGAATGAAGGTGATAAAAAACACAAGATATTTTCATAAAATCTCAAATTTTAACAAGAGGAGAAATGCCCTAGAATTTATCAAAAAGACTTCTGATGGGAAGCAAATGACCTTAGAAGAAGTAATCGAAGCCTTCAAAGCCCAAGCAAAGGAGGTGAGCAACAATATTCATGATGATATTCCCGAGATACAGGATTTAATACAGGAGAAACTTTTGGAGGAGGACTTTAAGAACTATTAAGGCCTCCCACAAATGAGGAAATTGAACAATTTGTCAAATCATTAAAATCTCACTTTGCCCCGGGCCCAGATGGATTATCTCCATAATTTTACAAAAAATTCTGGGATATAGTTAAAGTAGATGTTTGCAAGGTGGTAAGAGATTTCTTCGAATCCGAGAAATTTCCAAAAGAAATAAATTCCACAAATTTAATGTACATCCCGAAAGTAAAAAATCTAGAAGCAATTAGTCAATTCAGATCTATAAGTGTATGTAATGTCATCTACAAAATAATAACAAAATGTTTGGTTCTCAAAATGCAAAAACACCTGGATAGATTAATTGCTCCAAATCAGTCAGCTTTCATAAAAGGAAGACAGTGTATAGATAATGTGATCCTAGTCCAAGAAATTGTACATAAAATGAGAAAGCAAAAGAAAGGAAAAGGCTGGATCCTAATAAAGATCGACATGTCAAATGCTTATGACAGAATGAGGAGAGATTTCATTACTAAAGTTCTTCAGTGTATAAGGTTCCCAGACAAATGGTGTGAAATGATTGAATGGTGTATGGAAACACCAAGATTCTCTATCAAAATAAAGGGAATATACAAAGAATTCTTTTCTCTCAATAACGGACTAAGACAAGGTGATCCACTATCTCCATACCTATTCATTATGGGAATGCAAATACTCTTCGGAATGCTTCTCAAAAAGGAGATGCATAAGATGATCTAGGGAAACACTTTGAATAGGAATGGTCCAAGTATCTCTCACTTATTATTTTCATATGACTATCTCATTATTTGCAAAGCTGAGGTTAAGCATGTACAAGAAATATTGGAAGTATTGAAAGAATTTGAAAGGACTTCAGGTCAAAAAATAAACAAAATAAAATCTGGTGGGTATTTCAGTCCAGGGGTGCATAAGAAAAAGGTAAAATTTCTCCTTGCTCTACTTTACATGAAAAAATTAGAGTAGAGATATTTGGGGACTCAACTGGCTCTTGGGGGAAAAAGCAAAACCAATCAACTGGAAATGCTAGGAAAAATAAATGCAAGGTTAGGACTGTGGAAGGCAAAGTTACTATCACAGGCTGGAAGAACAGTCATGATAAAAGCAACTCTACAATCAGTGCCAAACTACATCATGGGAACCTCAATT